TGCAAAATGAGAATCATTGTCTGACACTCATCTAATTTTTCTTGTTGTGATCTTATGGTCATAATAAGGAGAAAGGTTTAATTTTTCTTGTATTTGGTTTGCTGGGTCATATCATAACCTAATTTTAGTATTTGAAAATAATGACTACGATTCCTTAATGGCCAACTGAAGATTGAATTGTCCAGAACAACCATACCGTGTTTGTGAATTATCAGTATGGACCAGGAAAGCATATGTAACTTTTGAACTTGAGTGAAAAGATTGAAGTTGCAGCCTTTTGCATAGGTGGTTTGTCAGTTTAAAACTCCAGAATTTATTATCACCATATTATCACATGTTGCTTATACGAGATTATTATTCTGAGTAGTAATTGCTTCCCCGTCTATGTAGAAGTGACTGTGTTTTTATTTATTATTCAGATCAAAGATCAAAACATTTTCTTAAATATATTTTGTGTAATATTTTATTTGTATACAGTGTTGTTGAAATATTTAACTAGAGCATGATATTTTAAATGTTAAGATGTAACATATATTAAATAAAGCTGTTACTTTTGAATTTTAAAATTTGTTTTTTGGGGGTAAGAACTGCTAGAGTTGATAAAATTCTGCCAAACTATTACTTATAGGTACTATCGTGTAACACACTTTCTTGAAATATTTTTGTTTATAGAATTGAAGGTTCTTATCAGATGGGGTGCTGGGGACTATAAACAATGGAAATAAAGCCACTGTATTTAAAAAACAAAAAACAGTTACATCGTTTGTTGGTGACAAATATTGCCCGTTTTATATATTTATTATTTATAAATTTATTATCTATAAAATAATAACAAGGAGATGTTTAGACTCAGATATGCGGTCCACACAAATTTGTATAAAATATCCTCAAATACAAAAGACCTATGGCATCTCATTATTTTCCATTTATTCGGTTTTTTGTCGCTGTTGATTCGTATTCCCACCGGCTGATAAATTCCTTGAAAGTCATTCTTGAGACTATCCTCTCTCCCTGGGATTATATCAAGATTCTAGGCCTGGCGCGGTGGCTCACGCCTGTAATCCCAACACTTCGGGTGGATTACAAGGTCAAGAGATCAAGACCATCCTGGCCAACATGGTGAAACCCCGTCTCTACTAAAAATACAAAAATTAGCTGGGCGTGGTGGTGCGTGCCTGTAATCCCAGCTACTTGGGAGGCTGAGGCAGGAGAATTGCCTGAACCCTGGAGGCGGAGGTTGCAGTGAGCCGAGATCGGGCCATTGCACTCCAGCCTGGCGCCTGGCAATGGAGCAAGATTCTGTCTCCCAAAAAAAAAAAAAAGATTCTAAAGATTATGTAGATCCAGAAACTGAAGAAGGGAAAAGTGGCGTTTTATTGTTCATGGATCCACACTGGTCATCTCCGTACCCTCATGCGCCCCAAGCCCTCAGTGCCGTGATATCTCTCCAGAGCTTTGAAGCCAACTTGGTCCTGTTTGTTTTTTGTGCAGGAGTTGATCAGCAAGCTAGTTCATCATTACTAGAAGTGGGATAGCTCATTTGGGTAACCCTAAAAGGTTTTGTTTTCTCTTAACCCTTTGCAGGGGTTTGGAGTAGTGAAGTGAACTTGTTGGAAAGTTGAAATCAATCTAGATCAATAATGACTAAACTCTCATGGGCCAATGACCCATGTGAGAGTCTGATGAAAGATTTGAACTCAATAACAAGCTATTATTTTCGTAAATACATAACACAAAAATATATATTTATCAAAAATTAACTTCCTTAACATCAACAGGATAAGCTATTTTTACCCTCCAAAAAAGTCTCTTTTTAGCCGAGCGCAGTGGCTCACGCCTGTAATCCCAGCACTTTGGGAGTCCGAGGTGGGTGGATCACAAGGTCAAGAGATCAAGACCATTCTGGCCAACAGGGTGAAACCCCGTCTCTACTAAAAATACAAAAATTAGCTGGGCGTGGTGGCGCGCGCCTGTAATCTCAGCTACTCGGGAGGCTGAGGCAGGAGAATTGCTTGAACCCGGGAGACGGAGGTTTCGGTGAGCCGAGATCGCGCCATTGCACTCCAACCTGGCACCAGGCAACGGAGCGAAACTCTGGCTCAAAAAAAGAAAAGAAAGGCTCTTTTTAATTGTCACATAAATATTAAGGTCTTTTTTTATATATATTTCAGCTTTTATTTTAGATACAGGGGGTACATGTAGCATTATTCATTGATCATGTTGGACCCAGCTAGTGAGCACAGTACCCAAAAGATACTTCTTCAAACCTTGCACCCATACTCCTTCTCCCAATCAGTATACCACTGTGTCTATTGTTTTCATGTTTATATCCATGTGTGCTCAATGTTTAACTCCCACTCCTAAGTGAGGACATGAAGTATTTGGTTTCCTTTTCTGGTATTAATTTCTTTAGGATTATGGTCTCCAGCTCCATCCATGTTGCTACAAATGATTCCTTTTTTCATGGCTATGTAGTATTCCACGTTGTATACGTACCACATTTTTTTTATCCAATCCACCACTGATGGGCACCTAGGTTGATTCCATGTCTTTGCAATGGTGACTAGCACAGCAGTGAAAATATGAGTGCATGTGTCTTTTAGGTGTAATAATCTATATTCCTTTGGATATATACTCTAATGGAATTTCTGCATTGAATGGTAGCCCTGTTTTAAGTTCTTTGAGAAATCTTCAAACTGCTTTCCACAGTAGCTGAACTAAGCTACATCCCCACCAGCAGAGTCTGTGTTCCCTTTTCTCCACAGCCTCACCAGCATCTGTTGTTTTTTGACTTTTTTTGATAATACCCCTTCTGACTGATGTGAGATGGTATCTCATTGTGGTTTTGATTTGCATTTCTCTGATGATTCGTGATGATGAGCATTTTTCCATATTGTTGGCCACTTGTATATCCGCTTTGGAAAAGTCTCTGATCACATCTTTTTAATGAGGTTTTTTTTTTATGTTTTGCTTATAGATTTAAGTATTTTATAGATTCTGGATATTAGGTGCGTAGTTTGTGAATATTTTGTCCCACTCTGCGTGTTGTCTGTTTACTCTATTGATCACTTCTTTTGCTGTGCCAAAGCTGTTTAGTTTAATTAGGTCCCATTTGCCAATTTTTGTTTTTGTCAATCGCTTTTGGGGAATTAGCCATAAATCCTTTGTCAAGATGTTAAGAAGGGGATTTCCTAGGTTTTCTTCTATGATTTCTTTTTCTTTTTCTTTTTCTTTTTTGAGACAGAGTTTCACTCTTGTTGTCCAGGCTGCAGTGCAATGGTTCAATCTCAGCTCACCGCAGCTTCCACCTCCCAGATTCAAGGGATTCTCCTGCCTCAGTTTCCCAAGTAGCTGGGATTACAGGCATGTGCCATCATGCTCGGCTAATTTTGTATTTTTAGTAGAAACAGGGTTTCTCCATATTGGTCAGAATGGTCTCAAACTCCCAACCTCAGGTGAGCCACCTGCCTCAGCCTCCCAAAGTTCTGGGATTACAGCTGTGAGCCACCATACCCTGACCAGTTTTCTTCTATGATTTTTATAGTTTGAATTCTTACATTTAAATCTTGAATCCATCTTAAGTTAATTTTTCCATATGGTGAAAGATAAAGAGTCTAGTTTCATTCTTCTACTTCTGCCCCAGCCAACAATTGTAGCACCATTGATTGAATAGGAAATCCTTTCCCCATTGCTTGTTTTTGTCAACCTTGGTGAAGTTCAGTTGGTTGTAGGCGTGTGGCTTTATTTCTGAGCTTTCAATTCTGTTCCATTTGTCTACGGGTCTGTTTTTGTATCAGTATCATGCTGTTTTGATTACTGTAGTCTTACAGTATAATTTGACGTCAGATAGGGTGATGCCTCTTCCTATGTTCTTTTTACTTAGAATTTGCTTTGGTTATTGAGACTCTTCTTTGGTTCTGTATGAATTTTATAATACTTTTTTCTAATTCTGTGAAGAATTAATTGAGAGTTTGACAGAAATAGCATTGAATCTATAAATTGCTTTGGCCAGTATAATCATCTTAATGATATTGATTCTTTCACTCCATGAGCAATGGTATGTTTCTCCATTTATTTGCATCGTCTCCGATTTCTTTCAGTGATATAGATTTTCTTGTAAAGATCTTTCACATCCTTGTTTAGTTGTATTCCTTGGTATTTCATTCTCTTTGTGGCTATTGTAAACAGGGTGTGTTCTTGATTTGATTCTCAGCCTGGACATTATTGGTGTGGGGAAATGCTACTGATATCAACCCATCACCTGGGTATTAAGCCCAGCATGCATTAGCTATTTTTCCTAATGCTCCACCTCCCCCACCCCACTTCCCAGCAGGCTACCATGTGTGTTGTTCCGTATGTTCTCACTGTTCAGTTCCCACTTATATGGTCAGTTCCCACTTATGCTGAGGATAATGGCTTCCAGCTCCATCCATGGCCCTGCAAAGGACATAATCTCATTCCTTTTTATGGCTGCATAGTATTCCATGGTGTGTATGTACCACATGTTCTTTATTCAGTCTATTATCAATGGGCATTTGGGTTGATTCTCTGTCTTTGCTATTGTAAACAGTGCTGCAGTGAACATACACATGCATGTATCTTTATAACAGAATGATTTCTATTCCTTTGGGTATATATACAGTAAGGTGATTGCTGGGTCAAATTGTATTTCTGGTTCTAGTTCTGTGAGGAATCATCACACTATCTTCCACAACGGTTGAACTAATTTAGATTCCCACCAACAGTGTAAAGGCATTTCTATTTCTCCACAGGCTTGCCAGAATCTGTTGTTTCTTGGCTTTTTAGTAATTGCCACTCTGATTGGCATGATGGTATCTCATTATGGTTTTCATTTGCATTTCTCTAATGATCAGTGATGTTGAGCTTTTTTTGAAGTGTTTGTTGACCACATGAATGTCTTCTTTTGAGAAGTATCTCTTTATGTCATTTGCCTATGGGATTTAAGGGGGTTGTTTGTTTTTTCTTTTTTGTGGGGGAGGTGGGGTGTCTGGTTTATTCAAAGTGGCTGTCAGAGGCCCAGCCATGGAGCAGAAACCAATTAGTTGGGAGCTGTGGGGCTGAACAGGCGGGAATTTCCAGGTATCAGAAGGTAAAAGGAGGTCAGCTGAGCAGCCAGAACAGCATTAGGGCCATGCTGAGCAGGAGAGGCCACCCAGGGCCCTGCCCTACTCAAGGCTGCAGCATAGAATCTTGCCATCTCCTCATTGGGGTTCCCTGGGCCAGGTCGAATCACATCTGGATGCTGCAGCCCCTCCCTTGGCTGTAGTTGCTGACCTGGTAGGAGTAACTCCAGATTTCATTGCACAGAGCAGTGGGTGTGGGAAAGTAGAAATGAAAAGGTACACAGGCACCTCTCACCAGGGACTCGCTGAATCCTGAGGTCCAGTTCCAGCCTTTGTGCCAGTTGCTCTTGCAGGTGTAGGAGATGCAACAATCTTTCCACCATTGCCCACAGGATTGCCCATAACCCTCTTTGTACAGGGGCATGTTCAGTACCTGCTCTTTACACCAGCTCTGATCCACCTGCCAGATCCAGGGCCCAAAGTTGGAGGAGGACTTGTAAGGGCAGGTGTCCTGGGTGAAATGCTATTAGCAGGCAGGTGCCATCTCTCTGCAGTGGTTCCAGTTGAATCTATATAGGTAGAAAACAAGGGAATGCTTCCAGCTTTTGCCCATTCAGTAGAATACTGGCTGTGAGTTTGTCACAAATGACTTACTATTTTGAGGTATGTTCCTTCAACTGTTTATTAACAGTTTTTAACGTGAAGGAATATTGAGTTTTATAGAAGGCCTTTTCTGCATCAATCAAGATAATCATGTATTTTTTGTCTTTAGAACTGTTTATGTGATGAATTATGTTTGCTGATTTTCATACGTTGAACCAGCCTTGCATCCTGAAGATGAAGCCAAATTGATAGTGATGGGGAAGCTTTTTGATGAGCTGCTGGATTCAACTTGCCAGTATTTTATTGAGGATTTTTGCACTGATGTTCATCGGGGATATTGGCCTGAAGTTTTCTTTTTCTGTTGTGTTTCTGCCAGGCTTTGGTATCAGGATGATGCTGGCTTCGTAGAATGAGTTAGGGAGGAGTCCCTTCTTTTCAACTGGAATCGTTTGAGAAGAAATGATGCCAGTTCCTCTTTATACCTCTGGTGGAATTCATCTGTAAATCCATTTGGTCCTGGTCTATTTTTTGGTTTGTAGGCTATTCATTACTGCTCCATTTCAGAGCTTGTTATTGGTCTATTCAGGGATTCAACTTCCTGGTTCAGTCTTGGGAGGGTGTATGTATCCAAAAATTTATTCACTTCTTGAAGATTTTCTGGTTTATTTGCATAGAGGTGTTTATAATGTTCTCTGATGGTTGGTTGTATTTCTTTGGTTTCAGTGGTGATATCCCCTTTATTCTTTTTTTATTGTATTTATTTGATTCTCCTCTCTTTCCTTATTAGTCTAGCTAGCAATCTATCTATTTTATTAATTTTTTCAAAAAACCAGCTCCTGAATTCATGATTTTTGAAGGGTTTTCTCTGTCTCTGTCTCCTTGAGTTCCACTCTAATCTAGGCTAGTTCTTGTCTTCTAGCTTTAGGTTCGTTTGCTCTTGGTTCTCTAGTTCTTTCAGTTGTGACATTAGGGTATCAGTTTTAAATCTTTCTGTCTTTTTGATGTGGGCATTTAGTGCTACAAATTTCCCTCAACACTGCTTTAACTGCATCCCAGATTCTGGTGGATTGTCTCTTTTTCTCATTGGTTTCAAAGAACTTTTTGATTTATGCCTTAATTTCCTTATTTACCCGGGAGTCATTCAGGAGCAGGTTGCTCAATTTCCATGAAGTTGCGTGGTTTTCAGTGAGTTTCTTTTTTTTTTTTTTTTGAGACGGAGTTTTGCTCTTGTTACCCAGGCTGGAGTGCAATGGCGCGATCTCGGCTCACAGCAACCTCCACCTCCTGGGTTCAGGCAATTCTCCTGCCTCAGCCTCCTGAGTAGCTGGGATTACAGGCACGCGCCACCATGCCCAGCTAGTTTTTTGTATTTTTAGTAGAGACGGGGTTTCACCATGTTGACCAGGATGGTCTCGATCTCTCGACCTCGTGATCCACCCGCCTCGGCCTCCCAAAGTGCTGGGATTACAGGCTTGAGCCACCGTGCCCGGCTTCAGTGAGTTTCTTAATCTTTAGTTCTAATTTGATTGTGTTGTGGTCTGAGAGACTATTTTCACTTCAGTTCTTTTGCATTTGCTGAGGAGTGATTTACTTCCAATTATGTGATCAATTTTACAGTAGATGCCATGTGAAGCTAATAATATATGTTCAATTGCTTTGGGGTGGAGAGTTCTGTAGATATCTACAAGGTCCACTTGATCCAGAGCTGAGTTCAAATCCTGAATATCTTTGTTAATTTTGTTTTGTTGACCTGTCTAATATTGACAGTAGGGTGTTAAAGTCTCCCGCTATTATTGTGTGGGATCCTAAGTCTCTTTTAGGTTTCTAATAACTTGTTTTATGAGTCTGGATGCTCTGTATTGGGTGCATATATGTTTAGGATAGTTAGCTCTTCTTGTTGAATTGACCCCTCTACTATTATGTAATCCCTTTCTTTGTGTCTTTTTACCTTTGCTGATTTAAAGTCTGTTTCATCAGAAACTAGGATTAGAACCCCTGCTTTTTTCTGTTTTCAAATTGCTTGGTAAATTTTTCTCCATCATTTTATTTTTAGTCTATGTGTGTCTTTTTGCATGTGAGATGGGTTTCTTGAATACAGCACACCAATAGATCTTTACTCTTTATCTAGCTTGCCATTCTGCGTCTTTTAATTGGGTCATTTAGCCCATTTACATTTAAGATTAATATTGTTATGTGTAAATTTCATCCTGTCATCACGATGTTAGCTGGTTATTTTGCAGACTTGTTTATGTAGTTGCTTCATAGTCCTATTGGTCTGTGTGCTTCAGTGTGTTTTTTTAGTGGCTGGTAATGCTTTTTCCTTTCCATGTTTAGAGCTTCCTTCAAGATCTCTTGCAAGGCAGGCCTGGTGGTGATGAATTTTCTCAGCATTTGCTTGTCTGAAAAGGATTTTATTTCTCCTTCTCTTATGAAGCTTAGTTTGGCTGAATATGAAATTCTCAGCTGGAAATTCTTTTCTTTAAGAATATTGAATTTTGGCCCCCAATGTCTTCTGGCTTCCAGGATTTCTACTGAGATATCTGCTGTTAGTTTGAATGGCTTCCCTTTAGAGGTGACTTGGCCTTTCTCTCTGACTACCCTTAACATATTTTCCTTCATTTCTACCTTGGAGAAGCTGGTGATTATGTGTCTTTGGGTTGATCTTCTTGTGGAGTATTTTACTGGGGTTGTCTGTATTTCCTGCATGTTGCCCTGTCTTGTTAGGTAGGGGAAGTTCTCCTGGATGATATTATCCTAAAGTGGATTTTCCAACTTGGTTTCATTCTCCCTGTGTCTTTTGGGTATCCCTATCAGTCATAGGTTCAGTCTTTTAACACAGTCCCATAGATTTGAGCAGTTTTGTTTGTTTCTTCTCATTTTTTTCTCTAATCTTGTCTGCCTGCCTTATTTCCACAGGGTAGTCTTCAAACTCTGATATCCTTTCATCTGCTTGGTCTATATAGCTATTGATACTTGTGTTTGCATTGTGAAGTTCTCATGTTGTGTTTTTCAGCTCTGTTGAGTCATTTATATTCCTCTCTAAACTGGTTATTCTGGTTAACAGCTCCTGTAATGTTTTATCATTCTTAGTTTCTTTGCAATGAATTAGAACATACTCCTTTAGCTCAGCAAAGTTCATTATTATCTGTCTTCTGAAGCCCACTTCTGTCAATTCATTCATCTCGGTCTCAACCCAGTTCTGTGCACTTCCTGGAGATATGTTGTGATCATTTGGAGTAGAAGAAGCACTCTGTTTTTTTGTTTTTCTTTTTTTTCGTTTTCAGCATTTCTGCCTTGATTCTCATTTTCCTGGGCTTATCTACCTTTGATCTTTGAGGCTGCTGACTTTGGAGGGGGGTTTTGTGGGGTCTTTTTTGTTAATGTTGTTGTTGTTGCTTTCTGATTGCGTTTATTTTAGCAGTCATGTCTCTCTTTCCTAGGGCTGCTGTGATTTGCTGGGGGTTCACTCCAGACACTATTCATCTGGTTCTTTCCTGCCCCTGAAGATATCACCAGTGGAGGCTGCAGAATAGCAAAGATGGCAGTCTGCTCCTTCCTCTGGGATCTCTGTCCTAGAGGGGCACTGACCTAATGCCAGGCAGAATGCTCCTATATGAGGTGTCTGGAGACTCCTGTTGGGACATCTCATCTAGTCAGTAGGAGCAGGATCAGGGACCCGTTTAAACAAGCAGTCTGACTGCCTCTTGGTGGAGTGGGTGGGCTTTGCTGGGGAAATCCTCCTCATCCAGGCTTCTCTGATTCTCCAGAGGCAGCAGGCAGAAAAGACCAAAACTGTTGACCCGTGATACCACAACCGCCCACCTCTGTCAGGGTCACTACCTGCACAGGTTTGTCCTGCAGAACCTGACTCAACAATGAATGAGTAAATTCACTCACATACAGAATACAATGAATGACTGGGCCAAAGTGTTCAGGCCACTCACAGACACTTGAAGAGAGTGCTGTAAAGAGATAGCAGGCACCACCCCAACATGCTGGCCTCTCTGGCCTTTATTCAACACACATTAAATGACAAAAGCCTTGAGTCAACACCACTAGGGTGTAGAGATGAAAGGACAGGTTCTGAGGCCTAAAGCAAACACCATTAGTGGGTAATATCTCTGGTTGACCTCCCCCCGAGAGAGCCATTTGGAATAATTAAAGGTTAGTTTATAGAACCACATGAGTGAACAAGTTATTCAGATAAGCTCCCCCACATTCCCTAGCTAATTGCTTTTCTTATCAACTAAAGGTAAAGGGGATAAGGCTGCCTTCAGCTGAAACTTCTAGTGAAACTATGCAAACTTCTCGTCCTTCCAAGAAGGTTTGTGACTATATTCTGTAACTTTCTCTAATATTTTTCCTTTAATATTTTTGTCACTACCCTGACTGAACTCCCACACTCCTCCTAAGAGCTCCTCTCATGGATATCAGAGTTCTGTCCATAAACCCCTGGCCGGGGATGCTGAAATTCCCACAAGCAGGCCCCACCTGGTGAGAAGTGGATCAATGTCCCACTTAATGAAGCAGTCTGGGCCCTTGGCTATATCAGACCCAAATGACTCACTCCTCACTTCCTCCCTCCCCATTCCACCATGGCCCCCAAAGACGCTCAGGGTGGCCCCTTGTTCACACTGCTTGGAGAGAATGTGCTCTGAGTTAAGTTTGTCTCTTCTGGTCCTGGAAAAAAATGGTATTGGCAAGGTTGCTGGATCTGTACTTAATAAAAAATTTACCCCAATAGTGATACTGTCTGCAGAGCTTGCTGCCCTTGGACCTTAGCAGGAAGCCTTCAAGGTGTTGTAATCAGCGGGCAGAAGAGAGTGAGGCCATGGAATGAAAAAGAATAAAAGCAAGAGTGTCATGCCAAACGTCCCCAACATGACCCAGTTAAGCAGGAACTGGGAGTAATGGGAAAATGAACTAGAATACAATGAGCTGCTCCATTACAGCAGGATGAATGGAGTAGGGGTTCCCACTTCCATGTACAAAGACCCTCACCCACTGCAG